TGCACAAGACGGTCCTCCCACAACCAGCTTTGTCCACAACAGGAGCACACCAGGTAGCTTCTCCTCATGCTGGTGATCCTGGAAGTGTAGGTTGAAGGTGCCCGTCTCTGCCTCAAGAGCGTTGTTCTTGGACTCGCAAAGTGCCAAGCGATTGGCTGCGCTGCTGCTCTTGGGCCGAGATCTTGAGCCTTGAGCCTCCTGTGTTTATATCTATATATTTTACAAATATAAATATATATATGTAGCTACATGTTCTTCCAGAGTTCGTTGGGATTTTATCGTCGTCCTCGTTGTCGTCCTCAAAGATCCCAGAAGTCGACACCAGGACAGCTGCCCGCCTTGGCGAAGGACAGCGTCCTCCCTCGTGGACCCGACAGGCCTTTCTTGGACCCAAAAAGCACGAGGACATGAAACAAATTTTTCATGTCCAGTTTGCACTTGCCTAGGTTAAAACATTTTTTCATGTCCAATTTTTTCAGGTCATGCACCGTTTCATGGGCTCGTTGGCATGAACAGTGCACAAGGCTCTGGACCTTCTGGCACCATGGTTTCGTTCCCAAATGGGACTAAGAAACGGCCAGTCATATAGAGGCTCCAAAAAGACTGAAACGCTTCTGATTATAATTTTTGTTAGTCTGACTTACTAAGTTTCTGATATGTTGCCTGGGTGTCACTACAACTGTAACCAATGGACCAAGAAACACGTTGACCATTTAGGTGTTTCTTACCTCAAGGCCGGGCATTCATTGTCCCAATTGGAGCTTTAAAATAGTTATTACGGAGATACATGCACAAAGCCAGGCCATGCAAAGCCAGAAAAGTATCTTGCGCATCCGACCAGCACGCCCGAACCAAGCAGTTATACCCAAAGACATAGAGCCAACTCTTTCACAGACAGATTTGGTCTACTGATTAGTTGGTGTCATCAAGGCGAGCAAAGTTAACATCGCGGCGCAGTGTGGAGAGTGTGAAACGATCTTGGTCAGGTGACCTCTGTAGCAGCTGGGCTCATGGCAGGCTTCCAACCGAGAGCAGAAGGGGTGTTTAACGTTTTCGACAGTAGGGAAGATGGTTGACTCCACCATGGCTGATGTGCTTTTTGGGGGAACACCTGCTTCTTGAAAGCGTGGGAATCGAACACCCTGGGATGGGATAGGGGCAGGGATGGGCCAACATGGAGGGATGGTATTTTTCAAGTGATGGATAGATGTTTCTGAGTACTGATGCATCGGGAGGGTGCCATGTAAACAGGTCGGGCACCAACATGAGTTACACCAACATGGACGCGTGAGTTCAAAACAACTCTAGAATCATCAGCATGTCAGTCCATGTGCCCATTTGCAGATGGTTGGCATTTTCATAGGCCCAGCTCTGTATGACTCAAAGACCAGATCTGTTTGTTTGCCCCGGTGGTGTTGAATTCATCCCCTACAGGTCTACAACAAGATAGGGTGCCCTGGCCCAAACAAGAACCATCAACCAATTTTTACACAGGGCACGGGGCACATGTGTTTGACGTTTTGTGTTCACGTTTTGTGTTTGACGTTTGTGTTTACCAGAAGCAGCTTCAGTACCCAACGGTTAGGTTGGACAACGGGTGGAAGGGCGATGCATTCGGAGCACCCGGCAGGCCTTGCGAGCACCCGGCAGGCGCCTAGCTGGATGTGCCGACTCAAGTGGGTCAACCAGGTGAGCATGGTTAAAAACTATCCTTTACTGTAAGTAAGGCCCGCTCATAAGAGCAGTGTGCGTAAGCAAAACTGTGAGTTGCATAAGGTCGCGGCTTGTGGTGACACTTCAGCACTTCAGAGTGCGTAAGCAGTGCGTAAGCTTATTTATGTTACACCTGTTGTCTTTGGAGATAAACATGCCTACACAACTTCAACTATATAACATCAACTAGCCACAACGGTACAGAACTCATACCTGTGTTTTATGTCCCATGTTCTAGGGCATTTTGATCTATATATATATATATTATATGCTGCTTCATAAGTTTGTACTAGAGAATGCATATTGACATATTGACAGCGATACATTGACGGCAACATTGCGATTCCTCCCCGAGATCGGGCCCAGCGGATGCGCTTCCTGTGGGTTCGCAGCGCGCGCGCGCGCGCGCGCGCGCGGACCCTGACTCCTATAGGCGGTGGCGCGGCGTGCGCCGGGGAGCTCAGTGGAAGGCACAGATGGTGATGTAGACGGTGACCTACCATGTGGGTACATATCGTATCCGTTTTAGATCTATTGAACATCAATGTGGGGAACCCCCCCACCTGGTTATGTACCACCATGATCTACCAAAGAGTGAGACTCCTGAGCGAGCGACATCACCTCCGTCCCTAGTCTTTCCTCATTGTGTTGATTTGGGGGTGACTCTGCACTAGGAACAAGATGCTACTAGGGGCTCCTGGCCTCACTACTAGGAGCAAGGACGCTACTAGGGGCTCCTGGCCGTACTACTAGGAGCATTGTTTGCTACTAGGAGCATGTGGTGTACGACATGTCGAGGTTTGGACATGTTTCTTCGATGTCTCGAAGAAAACGATGAGTCGGTGGCGTCGGTGCGCGTCCGCGTAGATTGTGGAAGAACTGTGTTAAGCATGTTAGACAAATCAATATCCTACATCCACCTGTCATCATCCTGCATGCACCTGGAGCCCCTTCCATCCCTGCAACCCCTTGCTGAAGAAGAATGCATACATATACATAACATTTTTTGGCGCCGAGGAAAGGCACGCAGGTCCTCCCTTTGGGCCGCTGGCTGCAGCGCTTCTTTTCGCTGAGAAACAGGCATGGCAGCTTTTCTTCGCTACGTGCTTTGTGGTGTTCGGACGTGCTCGGTGGGTTAGTAAGGATGATATGCGATAACAATGCATGTTTATATGTTAGATAGATTATATAGTCAGCATGTGGCCTTCAATTATTTTTTTAAAGCTTTTTAAGGGGGTGGTAAGGCCATGAGTTCAAAAGTCTTGCAGAATTTTTGGACTGATTGCGCACAGTGGGGCCCAATAATATCAAATCGCAAGGCTAAAACATCCATGAAAGTTATTGAAACCCGTTCCGCTCCAATGCTATGCAGGCATTTTTGCCAGCAAATCCGCCAGGCAGTTTTGGAACTATTCCGTTTCTCCCAGGACCACCTGCGCCACGTGTCCCGACGTGCGCTTGCGCGCGAAGCGCGGCGGTGTGGGTAGGGCTGTGGAGGGTTTGGGGGTTCAGATGTTCTTCAACTGAAGGTACATGTTCAAAGGGGAATCCCCAAACGCGGCAAGCAGTTTAATCATAATTATACATGTATTTTTTGGGAACAGGGGCGGGGCGGCACCAGGTTTTGGCGTTCCAAAGACGGGGTCCAGACGCTGACTATTTTGCCCTTTTTGTGCCCCACAAGTCTTGTTTTTGTCTAAGAATGTTGAGTATGTTTTTGTCAACGTCGGCAGGAACTACTTTGTGCGGAGGCGTGGCTGGTGAGAGCCTGGAAGTGGCCAAAACACGGGGTATACCACTCAATGGTCAGTGATTATGGTATATTGTTGAAAATAGCCATGGATTGTAAGATGTGTTATTGTGTCCACTGAATATGAGGGGCTCCTAAAGTGACATTGGCTTTGACATGCTTGGACTTCTTAAGGTTCCATGCACAATTGGATTGGTTTTTGGTGCCCCATCTAAACTAGCTGAGGAGCAAGCAGCCAGGCCTTGAATTGGACCGATTCTGAGGTGTTTTGATTGGAAACGACAGATGGTTTCCAGGAAGGATCTCCTGCTGGACATCCAGTCGTTGAATAATGTTGAATCGTCGTTTCGTTCCCAGTTGTTTTGTGACATTCCATGCATTTGGAGCAATAACCCAGTCCAACCAAACGACGTTCGGACATCGTCTTCGTTCCGCTCATCACTTGTTCTCAGATGGCGTGCCGAAGACTTGATCCAAGCAGCTTTCGTCTGCGTGGTCTGGGAAGCCGAGGGGACGGTCGTTGGCCGGTCGTCACGCTCGCCCTGGGCATAGCATGTCATAGGCTAATGAGCACGAGTGGAGGTTTGGTCTCGCTGGTTGCCTTCACCATTCAAGCGTGGGGTCCAACGATGCACCAAAAAAGAGACTTATATATGAGCCAGCAGGCTAGCCATGGCTTGATGGCGAAGGACTGGCACCGACTGGTCATGTGCAGGTTGGAGTCGAGAATTCATTGAAATAACCATTGGATACCATTGGCAATTCCAGCAGGTTTTGCCAATATTATACTGTACACGGTAAGGCACCGAGTTTTTTCTGTGGTCGGTTGTGATGGTCGTTGTGCCGAAGCAGGTGCACTTGGGCGCCTTTGCAGCACCTTTCTTCTTCACCTGGAAGGTGGGATCTGGATGAATCCACTAGTAACAAAGGGCATCGCTACTAGGAGCGCGGACGCTACTAGTAACAAGGGGTCGAACACATGATTTTAGTGTGGGTCGTGATAAGTATTACAGTGGCTTCAGATGGTTTAAGAGTAGATGGCACTGGCACCCAGAGATAACTATGCAGTAGAATTTGGACCCCCCTTCTCTTTGAGAACTTCCGGCTGATTCTTTTCTATAGTACTTACATAGGAAGGTGCACTTGATTTCATTCTCGCTTGGTCTTCGAACTGGCGGATCGGGTTGTCCAGGTTTTCAGTAAGGCAACAACCACAATGCAGAAACAAGTGGCACGGTTTTAATGTTAACAAAAAGTAAAACTCAATGTATCAGTGACTTCGACGGCATGGGTGACGCAATTCCGGGACTGATCGTGGGACTCCAGCTGTGATTGGCGGGCCTGTGCCTGGGTCTTGGGCCAGGAAGCGGCGTGTGATTGGCACTGGTAATTGCAGGAGGCTCACTTATATAGACATATATATAGATAGATCACCGTCTAATGCAAAGACCGGATTAATAAACCCCCCCCCCCCACATGGTAGGTCAACAAGGTCAAGAAGGTATGAGATACCACTCATGAGGTCCACTCCCCCTGAATTATCGGATCAGGGAGCCATCGTAGTCGCAGTCGTCATCGGTAGTAGGTAGTAGGTAGTAGGTAGTAGTCGGTAGTAGGTAGTAGGTAGTAGTCGGTAGTAGGTAGTAGGTAGTAGGTAGTAAGTAGGTAGTAGGTAGTAGTAGGTAGTAGGTAGTAGTAGGTAGTAGTAGGTAGTAGTAGGTAGTAGGTAGTAGGTAGTAGTAGTCACAACAAGTTTAAACAAGCACACAGAAAAGGCCAGGGACACAGGATCAGATTAATAGGGGGTAGTAGTGCAGATTATTGATGGGGGACCGGCCCTTGTGAGGGGTACCCTTTGTGAGCTTGTCAAATGATTGTTTTTAATTGGTTTTTAATAAGGCAATTTATAGGCCCTGAGCCCTAGACATTTTTAAGGATTTCATCAAACATGTAGTAGGTAGTAGGTGGTGATGGTGGTGGTGGTGGTCGTGGTAGTAGCACGTAGCAATAGCAGTAGCAGTAGCAGCAGCAGCAGCAGCAGCAGCAATAGCTACAGCAATAGCTAGTAGCAGTAGCAGTAGCAGCAGTAGCAGCAGCAGCAGCAGGAGTAGTAGTAGCAGTAGTAGTAGCAGCAGCAGTAGTAGCAGTAGTAGTAGTAGCAGCAGTAGCAAGTATAATGTCAAGTCAGGATAAATAAACCTCCACTAGTTAACCCCTTATTAAAAGTAATATTATTTTTTGTTGGATTGTGTAGGCTCGGATTAACTGGGGGGGGGTTGTTGGTAGAAAATTAGACAATAGGGGGGGAAATCAACAGCGAATAATACTTTTAATTTGGGCAATTTCCGGGGGCTTTGTGGGCTCGGATTAACTAGGGGAGGTTTATTAATCCTGACTTTGCATTATATTAAACAAATACACATATATTACTATATATATATATATTTTTTTTATATGGACAGTATATATAGAGATAGGCGCTTTGAGCTATGTCCTCTGAATGCCTGCAACTGCGCGGTAAGCCAAAAACCAAGATATCTTCGGAATGGTTCAGAAGTTCATGGTATTCCAAGGGTATTCCTACTGCTTGCGAACTTTTGCTGGAGGTTCTTTGACACCCCCTGGGCCAGAAAACATCACGACTAAAACAACTGGTTGTTTCTCTCTGGTAGCTGTTGATTCTTGATGATAACAGCTGGCCCTTTTAAGACAACAGTCTTCCAGGGTTCCCCCAGCCGGCCAAGCCGTGCGTCTTAGAGCGAGGCCTTCGCTTGCTTTTGCGCACCTTGGTTGACAGACCGGGCAGCACCAGGTCGTCTTGGCGCGCTGGGTCAAAGATGTCAAGTCACAGTCAATCTCTTGTTTTGTAAACTCGATATCATGTTATGTACACCCAGTCATTGACTAGGTAACAAGATGACTCTCTAAAAGACTGCATGGGACACCATCAAGCCCATCTTACTGTCATTTCAATTGAATAATTAGCTAATCATGACAGAGAAGCCATAGCCAGAGATTCAGAACGCCACTGGGATGCCCGCGTTAGCCATGGATGATGTAATCCCATCGGCCATGTCTCACAACCAGGTGCATGTCCTACTGCGTTGAGCTTCTTTGGTGGCGCGTTCCCTCCAAACACAGACAGCACAACACCGCGTGGAGGAAGAAAATCCCTGTAACTTGGGACCGATGTCCCGGATGTCCCCGCATGCCATGTCGATGATGATCAAGGATCTTCCACAGAGACTCCGCACTTCGTCATACTTCATCCCGACCGGGCGATTGACCCGTTTATACCGGCGACCGGCAGGGAGCCCGGTGGTACCGTCAAGCGGGACTCGGGGCTCGCCCGCTTGTTCACAGCGCCGGTGGATCCACGAAGAGATCGGTCCATTCCTCAGTCGCTCCAGCCGAGTCCGAGCCCTCCCGAGGTGGGCTACGTGATCACAGGCGACCGGCGGCATGGAGGGACTTGTTGGGGTCTTGTTTGGGGGTGCTCCGAAAAATAACAGGAGTCCAGGAGACGGAATGCAATGATTTTGTCTTTGTTGTTTTTCTTTCTTAAATGGTTGTGGTATGTCATGTGGTTTTATTTGTAGTCCATATCCCATATCATGTGGTGCTACTATATCATGTATAGTCCATATCCCATCAGCTGCCTTCTTGCATGTCCACAAGTATGCACAAATGCACTATAGAGGCCAAAAAGAGCCATCTACGGCTGCTGATCATTGGTTCTTGAAGTGTGCCACTTAGAAAAAGCTCTAAAAGAAGAGATGGTGAGAGCACATGAAAGCTACTGGAAGCACATGGAAGGCTGCATTGGCTCAGTCGACTGCACACATCCATCGCCAGGCATGCTGGGCATCACCTTGTCCTATCATCGGCAGCTCTCCCACCGTGCCTTCGTCGCTGCCCTCAGTGGATCCGGTGGAGATGTCTTGGGAGCTCCAGTGGAAGGTCCTTTCACGGTGAAGTGGTTGGGGTTGCAACAGTTGCCAAATCTTTCCTGGATCTTGTGACAGCACGCTTCCAGCTGTTTTGGTCGATTGTTATCAGTCTTCAGTGTCAGCGGCCGCAAACTCGACTCGACACAAAGGGTCAAACACCCGCACAATGGCGTAAAACATACACTGACAAACTCGCAAATGCCGGCACATATTTACAAGAACACAACAAGCAAAGCGACCAAAACCATAGCACACACACACACACCAGAAATTAATTGTTGGTAGTGGGAAGGTCAAAAGGCAAATCCTAAGCAGGTTACCCCTCCCTTTGATTATTGTTGTCCTCGTGCACATAGGGTTCGCCCAGTGCTTCGCCCCAGTACCCGGGATGCAAAGGAATGCCATGGTGTCATTTGGGTGGGCTTTTTGAGGTAGAATCAGAACTTGTTGCCGAAGATTCACATGAAAGCTTAAAGTCTGGATCCTCAGGAGCCAGCTCAACCCCTGAGCAGCAATTGATGTTAATTCAAAATCTGTCAAGGCTCTCTTCTTACAGCAAACGTATATTTCGTGTGTCGGAAGGCCATCCACCCCAATTCGCACAGTCCAGTTCGAAAGCCGACACATCCCCTATCCCCCACTATCGCCTTGAAGCAAAACTTTGGAACTCCCAGTGGGAGTCCCTGTGGGTTTGTGGCTCCGCCGCTCAAACAGCCTCTCCGCGAGCCATTTCATTCCCAATCCCCGAAAGAATCGAATCCGCCAGGCCACTCCTAAGTGGCTGGAGTTGGGAGTCCTGGTGATGGGAGACGGTTTTGACGGAGATTTGTGTTGCTCAGTTTTGAGTTTTGCATGACATGTGGTGTTTTGATCCCCCATGATTGGTCCTCTATAAAATGAGCATCTGTTTCCACTATGAAATTGGATAAGGAGGTTCACTTTATAGAAATGGTCCGTTCCGATAACGGACATAAGAGGAGGCACCATCATTTCATAGAGTAGAGGGGGGGATTGGTGGAAAGGACCATGACAGAGAGAGGCAATGCACAGGCTTGGCCTCCAACCTCTTTGTCGTGGATGGGCCTGGACATGGCTACCCATTTTATAGACAGGTTGGTTCTTCATTTTATAGAGAAATATGATGGTCATATCATTTTATAGACGGTATTCTCTATAAGATGGAGTTCTGGCAGGATGTTGCCCCAGTCAAGGGGGATGTGTTTTGTTTGACTATTGCTCGAGTGACTCGAGTGAAGATTCATGGAGGTACTTCTTCGTTCTGGGGGTTGGTTTGGCATGTCAGAAGGCATATGTAACATTATGTAACATATTCACACCATATTTGATTGATTCCAACACTCGTCCGGTCATGTTGTTTTCTGAGAACCTTCAACAGGGTCCTTCAGCGTAGGCATCAAGCGGAAATTGAACGTCCGAAACTGGAGGGGTGTTTTTTAAACCCAGGTTTTGGTTTATTCTAACATATTTTCAATTATTCCCGGGGGTCGAACTGAGAGGTCTCCCTATTTTAATCCACACCCACGGTGCACATGGCCTTGGATCGGCGGCGGCGTCAGGGAGATGGTTTGATTCTGGGCGTCCAAGGTATGTTTTGGCCTACTGTGGTGCCTTAGCCGTCCAGGGTCCGCCAATCAGCATGGAGCTCAGGGAAGGAGCAGAGAATCCGTGGATGCTTTGTAGATGCTTCTGCCATGTGTTGTGTTGAACATGAGCCTCCCCGAGAAAGCTTTTCTAGTAAAGCAATGCTTAAAGCAAAAGGTCGACTAAACTGAAACCATCTACGAAGAAAAAACATATTTTCAATATGTTTCAATTATAATACATGCATGAATGTGGGCTGATTCCAATCAGCCGGTCGAGCAGGTTTGGGCATACCGGGGCCGCGATTGGTGAAGCTTGACCAGTTGATGTTGATGTTTATGTTTCATCAGCTACATGCAGAGCAGACAGCACAACCTGCCCAACAGCTACATTGCACATGGTCTTCACAATAGAAAACGCCCAGGCCCATCCCCTGACGAAGAGAAGATTCACTAACAGCATCCAAAACCGTGGATGCACAACCCCGGTAGATGTGTCTGTACCACCATGGGGTGCAAGATTGAACAAATCACCATGCGTTCCCCAATTTGTGTACTTGGTTCGAGGATGTTTCAGGATATATAGGTATGGAACATATGGAGCTGGAGAGGCAAACACCAGTTCTTAGGAGCCCAACCTCTTCCAAGACCGCTTTGTTTCCCAACGTTTCCGTGTCCTCTCAAGGCTGGGTGTCCTCCCATCGGCATCATCATGGCAACACAGATGCAGAGGACCCGTCCTATCAGGAAAACAGACTGTTCGGGGTCAGGAGAGAAAACCCAAACACTACACTCCCGGAATCATCATGGCTAGCTGGATGGCATGTTTTTTCCACAGCCGACAGGGTGCGAAACCAACAAGGTGGAGATACTATGAGTCCCACATTGTTGTCCCCTATGGCAAGAAGAATGCAAGTGGCGAGAAGAATGGCGTCCTGTTGTTAAGGATCAAAGCTTGCAATCAAACCATCTCCCTCTTCTCTATGTTTATATATCCACACTCGCCGGAATAATCATAGAAGATATGACCCTTAGACGACCATTGTCCTCTTTTCAAGCAGGTGGCTCAAAGAGGATGACCTGTTCTTGCCTCAGAGAAGCCCCTGGAGTTCCCCCATAGGAAGTACTGTATATTTTGTGACGGAGAGATGGTGCTCAACATGTTTGCAGTTTTGACGCCCAAGTAAAATTTAGTCAGTAGGATCTGGCACCGTTTTGGCACGCCTTGAATTCAATTGACAGTCCACGGCTTCGATCGCTCAAAGATAACTCTCCGCTGACCCCACCCAGAAAAGGCACGACCTAAATGTTTCGCACCAGTTTGCAGCTCTCGATCAGTCTCCCAATTGCACGGATCATCTCAGATCCCTTCAGGATGATGTGCATTCTCCTCGGGATGGCTTTTGGTGGCCTGAGGGCCCAAGTGGGAGGGCAGTTGGGGCCAGACTGATCAGCACCAGAAGCACCGAAGACAATTTCAGAAGATCGGTACGGTTTTGGGACAGAAAGATTCTGTCAAAACCGGTGATGTTCAACTGTGGGTAGGTTGGGTAGTGTTGCCCTGTCCGCCAGCATCATTTTGAGGTCACACATGGGCTGGCTTATGGACAAGGACGGCACCAAGGTCCGAGAGGACAAGAAGAACGCCTCGGACATATCGCTGCCGCCTCGGATTGTAGGCTGCCAACATGGCAGGCTGCCGTCTAAGCTCAAGTCACAGAGTATGTTTGTATGGTGAACCATTCCCATCATTTGGCTCCAGCATCAGCACAAGACTAAACATCATCTCATTAAGTACTTACCTACCACATTAACAGGGGTCCTTTGTGACTTTGCTTTTAATTTGTTGTTCCTTAATTAACCAACCCCTTTCTGTTGGCACTGGTTCGTATACAATTTGTTGAATTTAGTTTTAAACTAATCCAGTTCACATCACAAACGGTCACAAATGGGCTTGAAACATGAAGTTCATCTCTATGCCAGGTGCGAGGTGAGTTGAAATTAAACACCTAACAAGCCTTGGCTGGAAACCTACCGAAAAACACGTCTCAAGAGTTCCATCTTTCGCCCCATCCATTCTAAGTGGGCTGTTGGCACCCAGTTCGGCTTAGGTCGCAAAGCTACTACCGCTTCCTGCAACAGACCTACGGTCTTCACTGCCGGGGTCTTTGGCGGGGACAAGCGGCGAGACCGCCACCCCAAATAAATGCCGCAGGGCTTCCGAGCCCGACCCCATCAAGGCAGCCCGTGCACATGTCATGTGGCTGTTTACGTATGAGACATGCTATACACTCGCTGGTGAGAAGGCGGTGAAAGAATATGAAAATATATGAAATAATTGTTTTGACGATTTCTGGCGGGAGATGCCGATCCGCCGATCCCAAGATCATTTGCCACAAGATGCCAAACTCATTTATTTGCTCCGCCCTAGGTGTGGTGCTGCCCATTTGTTTGCTCTACGCCTTTGGTGGAGTCCCCTGCGTCCTGTGGGGCTTCTTTGCCCGGGTGGCTTGGAAGAGTTATGGTTTTTGTTGTTCTGAAGCACACCGTTGTAAAAGATGACCACCATTGGAGAGAGTTTTATTTACAACACCCTCGCGACGGGGTGTGCCAGCGTTGCTTCTATCATGCGCCATTGCGTGTGAAAGAGTGTTTGAACTTGATGTGCCACCATGATTAGAACCAGGATGCCAAATCACCACCACCAAGGGACACATCGAGAACGTAGTTGGATGGCCTATAAGCCGCTATATCCAACGCTGGACGGCTGACACTGGAGCAACACCTATTGCCTATTGCTGGCGAAAGTGGGTAAGCCATTTGAGGCAGCCCTCAGGATCAATTGTACAAGTAGGTTCAGAGCTGATGGTGCAATGCAAATCTTCACATCGACCATTCTACATTGAGAGCCCATTCTTTGACGTCTTTGACCACCTACAGCTACAATGAATTCCATGTATGTTGGATTGCAGCATGCCATGGGGTGTTCTATTGAAACATATAATGAAACACATGGAAACACCTGTGCAGAACCTGACCCGGGTACCACCGGGTGGTTGCTGCTTTCTACTTGGTCACTACGGTCTCAGACCGTCCTAAGCTCGTCATCCTTCGTCCCGAGACGAGGTGGTGTGGTCCGCTCCTCAACCGTCTTCGACACCGTGGGACGCTGGATGGTTGACGCCGCCGATGGTTTCCACATGTTGTGTATATCAATCCGCAGGAAGATGGTGCTGGGATGGCCTGTGAAGGGTGTTTTTTTGTTTTTTTTGGTGGGATATCGCATTCTTACGCAAGAAAGGGCATGGAGATGGAGGCAATATTTAGGCAATGACCAAACCATACCAAACCTATGTATATATATATACCAGGCATGACATGGCCTTTGCTTGCTCGTTATCCTTCAGGGAAATCAAATGCCTTGAGGACTTGAGGCCTTCGTTGCTTCGTGCCTCGTCGTGGGTGAACTGCGTGGAATGGCCTCCACCCTGATAGCGATGGCCTCCAACCTAGTAGCTTCTTGCTACTAGTAGCGATCAAAGACTTACTGAAAAGCTTCTTGTTACTACAGGTGAAACGATTCCCAAGATGATAGGATTTGATGTGAGATCGCAAGGGCACTTCGATCGCAACATCGCAAGGCCCAAGAATGCACCAGCGGAAGGGTGTTTGTGAACAGCCCACGGTTTACGCAAAGATGATAGAGATGGCAGTTACAACAGATGATGAACTAACAAGTTTCTTCGGATCAGATTGAGCAACACCTGCAAGAAGTTGAGAAGTGGAACATATATGTGTTCATGTGGTGAGGCAAACTCCAGCAACATCGCCCATGTTTCCTCAGGTTCGCATCCACAAACAACCCATTTTTCACACCGAGTTGGACTGCTGAGGTTCTGGCACATCACATGGGCCGTGAACTCCGCCGCTCGGTTCGATGAAGGAACTCCATACCGGTGGGACGACCGGGACAGGCCCCGCTCCACGTATCAAGAAGCTTTTCTTCCGCTTAGGGGCGGAAGCAGCCGAAGGACAGATATTCTGAAGTACTTTCGGTGCTCAGCAGGGTCAGGGGAAGTCCTTGTTTCCGGAAGTGGCTCTTTACAGGTAGCATCAGGCAGCAGATGGAACCTTCTTGTTATAGGATGACCCCTCCACTAAAAGTAATAATTGGAGGGGGGGGTGACCCACGACTTAATCTTTATCATTTATTTTTTCTCCGACAATTTATCGACAATCTTAAGTCGGATACAACAAATCAATTGGCATCTTCCCTTGATTCCTGTGTACCTTGGATCAAGCTTTTGTCATGTCTACTTGAGAAATTATCAAGAGGTGGTGGAGAGGTCGCACACCCCTCAATTAATTATCACAGAGGGTCGGGGTGAGAGAGAGAGAGAGAGGAACCAAAGTAACTAAGGACGTCGATGCGGGTTTCAGAATATTCAGGGTCTAACTATGTCTAACTATTAGTTTTATGTCATGTCCTCATTTTGTATAAAGCGGTCCATGCCCTTATGGTGCCTGAATCTCAAAAGCATGTGTGTGTGTGTGTGCGCGTTTGGAGTGTAAGGGTTCCGGGGAGGTACCATGTGCACGGGGATGCCCGGTTTTCTTTGTGAGCGTGATGTAGGAGGCCTATAGCCGCCTCCTAGGTTTGGGTGTAGTCCCAATGACAGATTTTCTGAGAGGTGGGAAGCTGTAGGCTGGGGATTGTGAGAGGGGTAGGTTCCCTAACCTTGCCTTGCTTGGTACTAATTTGACCTCTCATGCCACAGTTGCAACTGCCCAAAAGCAGATATATTTAAATATATATATATATTAATGGTTTTTAAGCAAAAACATGCTAATGATGCAGCGGGCCGCGGGCAGCATAACTCAAATGTTTGCGACCTCAAAACAATCAACACAACTACTAGGACGTAAGTTTTCATACGTTCTAGTAGATTTGGGGCGCCAAGTTGTCCTCCAGAAGGCCTCAAAAAACCAGGCAGGACAGTGCCACCACATGCAAGCCAAGCAGGAAGGCAGCCACAACATTCGAAACCATGCAATGAAAATTAATTCAGGGGGGGTTGGCCTCTGGAGGAGGGATCGATTGGTACCCCCCCCCTCAATGAATTATGAACAAGTTAGGTATGTGCACCCTCAATGAATTTTATATAAGTTTGTTAATTGAGGGGGGCCCCCCCAGGGACCTATCTAACCTAGGGGTCATGTTATAGGGTCAGTGATGCTTTACTCCTTAGATTCGTTAGAGGAATGGTCAGGAAACTTTGCATGCTGGTGGTGTAAAAAGAGGCTTGGACTGTTTGATAAACTGGTAGGCCTCCAAGCTTCTTTGCAGGTAGTCCTGACTCAAAGTGGAGGAAGTAAAAAGGCTTCATGGAAAGGAATGAAGAAAGGTCAGCCTTGAAGGCTTTGCCAGTTTTTCCTGCCTCCTGAGGCAATTTAGTTTGCCAGCTTCGAGCTACTGAAGCATGTGGGTTTGACATGGAGCCTGACTAATTCAGCCTGGGTAACATGGCCCCATTCATGACATAGATCATAATCTAAAGAAAAGAAGTACGGGCTTCAGATAGTGACGAGCGCCGCGACTGAGGTAAGTCATGCTTGGCAGCCCGGCGGGGGCGATGGCAAGAGGGTAGAAGCATTCTATCATGCACATTGGTTGGCATGTCAGCGGTATCGATATTATATACACATGAAAAAAAGAATATATATATATATATAGCAACAAATGCATATCATCACGCCTTTGGGAAACAAGGAAAAAAACATCCGCACGGCCGAACAGGAGGATGATGTCATTTCGTTTCTCTTGCAGTTAAGCTAACAAGGTAAAGCCACACGTCTGGAGCTGAGTGGTTCGTGTTCTCGATGGTCCAGAAGCCGAATTTGTTCGAATGGCTCATCAGGATGAGCCACCATCCATCATCCAGGGAACCTCGGGTTTATGAGGCCCGAGACGGTCGAACAAGCAAGTGAAGACATGTTCTGAATGAACGCCTGATGAATAGTCACGTCAAATGTCTGACATGTTTTTGGGTGTTGTTAATTTGGGGGCTCAACCATGAGGAGAGATCCCAAAGACTAAATCTGTTCATGAGAAGAGGCCCTTGTGCAAGGAAGGGAAGACAGTTTGGACCAAACTAATCAGGGTGGGTTGGTGTACCCACTTCTGGAAACATGGCGATTCGCTGGAAGGAAGGAGACCACATCTTTGACCATCCAATGTTCTGTGCCTCAAAGATGTGGTCCTTCGAAACCAGCTTGGCAAATGTTGTTTTTCTGGACTTTCCACTCCAAAACCTGCCAGCCCTGCAGGAACTAGCCAAAACTGCAGGCTTTCGCTCCAAAACGCCAAGACACCGTGTAGACCGCCGCGAACGCCTCAGGTGTGGGGCTTCCAGGACTGGAAGACAGGCACCCAAACCGACCGGTTGCGCTGGACTGTTCGGTGCCAAACATCAACTACTGATTCCAGCAGTCGTTCTTCTCGGTTTGGATAAACCGACAAACACGTGTTCGTGTGGGATGTTTTACAACATCGAATGCAATTGGGGATATGTCTTCGGACTCTTAAGGTTGGCAGAAAAGCTCCACTACAGACTGCTACAGTTGCTGGCAAACAAGCCGCTTAAGCCTTCTCTCTCTCTCTCACCAGGCGACCTCTCGATGAACAATTGGCTTGCACGGCCCCCAGCTGAGAGGAGTGTATGGGAACGGTGACCATCATTGTGGTTCCTGACCATCGACATGTTATTTTTCTCATTGGATTCCAATGTGGATGTGTTTGGTAAGCCTGGATGTGGAAGCGGATTGCCCGCCAGAAGCGGATTCGTCACATTTGTTGTTTAAAAGTTCCAGACCCAAATAGATGAGCATCCCCTCATAGAGGATTTTGGACAGGGATCTTCATTTGGGAGATGCCATGAATGAGGAGCTGTAGACTGTAGACTCATCACAGCGAAAGCCAGGACAGCGAAGGGGTCTATCGACCGCAAAGGATGGGTTTTCACATGTCATGTTATCACCAATAATTCATGCCATGGAGTTACAATGTATGCAAACAAAAAATTGAACATGTTTGCCTTTTCTGTGTTGGATTTACACTTGCTTGCCCGCAAAAAACAACTAGCAGTGTTGTACCCATGATCCCCTACTGCAGGTGAAGGTATATATGAGGATTTTACACCCAAAAGGCACATTAGGTGTGAGGTTGTGTGAAGTTGCATATGTTGCTTGTGACATGGCGACCCAATCGCACTATAGAGAGCTTGAAGCTTGCGATCTTGCAGTGTTTTTGCCAAAAAAACTACTGACTTGCTGTGACAATATGAGTTCCACATAGCTCCATGAGCACCCAAAAATGGGGCTCCATGATGTGTCCATCTCCTTTTTTCAATTTATACGGTTCTTCTTTGACATACCAGACTGGTCGGAAGCTGTGGGAAGCACACTGGACCTGCCTCAGTACCTGCCTCATAGCACACTGGACCGGTTCACATCCAAGTTGCCAGGTTGGGATTTTAGCCTTTGGCGAGGGATGGCACAACAATCATCATGCCTTTGCCGCTTGGAACGACGTTTTTTTTTGTGCTGGGAGACTTTGAAAGAAACTTTGCCACCAAGTTGGAGGAGCAAATTTGGACACCACAGCCAAATTTGCCGTTATGTACATTTTAGTCCACCTGGCCAGAGGCGGTGCAGGAGGTTCGATAAAGCGATGAAGAAACAATGTCCGACATGCAAAAGATGTTGTTCATGTGGTTCCCCCATCTTCTGCCATTTGCCCTCCAAATGCAAGTTCCACCATTGCCCCGGTGCGAAGAGGCCGATTTTCACCAGGTTCGCCCTTTCTGCGGGAACATGGGCGGTGTTTCACATTACTGCAGATGGGAGTAGGTGGGAGCAGAGTACCATCGCAGATGAGAGCAGGTACCCGTTTTCATGTGCTTGTTGTTTGTCCGCTCCGTCAAGGTATCGCTCAACAACTGAGAGGATGTTAGCGCTTTTTGTGTCAATTGTTGGCTTTGATTGACACATGCACACAAGATAGCACAAGTAACGAGCAAGATAAGCACCCATGAGGGTTCGATCCATCTTCATTTTGTCCCCTAAAGTTTTGTGTTTTCGTGTAGTAGGCATGTTCATTGGGTGACCCGGGACGAGGAACGATCTTGTCGACACGGACTGAAATGGTGGCAGGCGGGGGACGTTCCTGGATCGGACGTTTTGGAATGCTGAAATGGAGGCTCACAGCGGCGGAGCAATGACCTAAGTATCTTATCTAAATTGTAAAGGTTTGGATGATCTCAAGGTATAGATTCGTATAGATTCTATAGATGCTTCGAGGCCACCAACAGGCCAACAGTTCAAATTTGGATCGTGGAATCATACGAGGTAGTTGAAAGTATTTCCGCAGGTTTTTGGTTTGATGTTGTTTCCAAGTTTCGGCCGAACCAGCTTTAGCCCAACCACCATTTATATATGTTAATCTTGTTTGGACATCAACTGACTCTTGCAGCTGGCGGGCGTCATCCTGAATCCAAGACCACCTCAGATTTGTTCCAAGTTTCCCTTGGACAGACCACCTATTCTCAGCCCGTGCAACCAACCTCTAGTTTCGACGGGGATCTGTTCAAGGAGGTAGTGAGAAACTAGACGGCCTCATCAGTTTTCTCCATCAGGGCCATGTTTCTCGATCAGTTCAAGGTTGTGTTTTTGTCAACATGGATGGCCCCTCGGAGATGGTCAAAGGATTGTCAAAGGTAGTGCGGAAGACCATGAAAGACCCGACGAGACAAGACCAACCCTGCTCCGACTTCTCGGAATTGCGGCATGTTTTCCACGGTTTTCGCTACAGTTTTTTCATGCGAATCGCAGCCCAAAGAGTTGATAAATGATCTGTGTACTGAGGTCGGCGGTTGTCACAGAGCAAGTTTGTTGGAATTGTGATTATTCTGTACGGCGCTCCGAACATGGCCTTTGCGGCCTCCCAACAACATGGCCATTGCGGCCTGCATACCACGGCCTCCCAGGTGGACTTTACGTGGTACGCCATCCGCACTCTGGAAGTATCTTGCAAGAAGATGTCATGCGGACTGCGAACACGTGGCATTTCTTCATGTGGTATGTTTTTTCTGACAGGATAGTGCAGCTTGTTTCAGTCCCGAGATCAGATTGAGCCTTTTTGTGTACGCGCTCAAGACTGCGCGTGAGTCCTGCGGGTTTGATAGCAAGGGATTCTGACGACCAAATGATGCCTGAGATGGTTGGGACATGCTGGCGCTATTTGGTTGGGGATTTTGGAGACCAACTGACTGCCGAGTTTTCATACTGCCAGGTGTTTTTGTGTTGTTGATTGCTTTCCCTGATGCACGTTGGGCAATATTCACACTCCTCCATACTGTTTGATATCGATTTGGTTGAATGGATTTCCCTGAAAAGGGTTCTGCAGCTTCGGCTCCGGGTGATCAATCTCCTTTGAAGGTGGCATAAAAGATTGCAGAAGGATTGCGCACTGTGACTGACAGTGGTCAGTATATATATATATATATATGTAATATAGAGTGAGTCAGCTCGAAGGCTATATTCTGATCGATCTTCTTTTTCCTGAGGTGTTTGCGAAGAGTGTGTTTATCCCCTATCTAAACCCAGCCAAGCTCTACGATGGAAGGCTCGCTTTCCGTAACAGCCACTGGCACGCCTCACATGCTAAGGCATTGGGTTTGGCCTGGAATCTTCAGTCGCTTGGACTCAAACGACATCGAAGTGCCGGTTTGCATGTTGGAGTTGTTTAAGGAAGGTCAAAAGGTCCAAGGTTGGAGTTTTTGTATATATCATTTAAGCTTGAGAGGTTGAACCAATCTTTGTCCAGGTATCCTTCTCAAGGCCGCATGGAGAGATTGGCCATGTGAAGGGCTTCTCCCGAAGGCAGGAGAGAATCCAGGGCATCGGTCGGTGTTGGTTGCCACGAACTCCACGTTATTGATTAGTTTTGTTCTTTGCAAGAAATTTGGTCGTTACACATGGATCCCCCATTTACAAACGTCCAACTGAATGTCATGCAGTCCGGCAACCTGTACTAGGCGGTGTGACTCACCTCACGAAAGGGTTTGCCACTTTAGCCCCACCAAACATGAAGATGAGAAAGCTAGCACATAACCTTGATTGGCCCAAGGAAGCTGAGGAGTGTCCATGCAGACTTCTTGCGTCACGAAGAACGACTTGCAGAATGCCCCTCGTAGTCACAACTTGAGTTGAGGGTGTGGCTCGCTCAAACTCCGGTTTGGGACGCCGAGGATTTGGCCCTGCGGGGCCCTGTATAAACTATATATATATATTATAAGGCTATAATTGGCTTTGCAGCTTAAGAGTCATGGAACCCCTCATGGCCACTGAGTACATGGGAACTTTTGCACATCCCCTGCTGCCCCGTGGCAGGATGCCACATGCCGTCGCAGTGAGGGCGCGGTGTGGCCAAGGTGCGATGCGTCGCATCGCCACGGAAGGTGTTCCATAGGAAGTCCCGTGGGTTCGTTTGGAGCCACCACTCCTCGCGTCCCGCGAAATCCCTCTTCCGGTGGCAAAGTCGACGCCTGGAAGTGACACCCATGTGCATGCGCATGCATATGTTTGGCCTAGCGTTTGGCTTTGGACGACTGGAAGAGGCCCACAAGCCTGGGGTACCCCAAACTATGCAAAAGCCATCGGAAGAATCTTCAGTCCCAAACGCAATATCTTCAGCAAGGTCTACCTCGTGTTGTTTCCATGTTTTCAGGGTGCTCGGCTGGCAAATTTTCTAGACTTCTAGACCACCTATAAGGTGGACTGGCAAGCGCTGTTCAGCCTCTCATGGGCGCAGAGCCTGCGCTCTTTGCGCCGAGCGCACTTTCCTGGATGTGAATCCATCTGCAGGAACTCATAAGATCTAAGCGTAGTGGGTGAGTAGGGAAGGTCATCCATTTTACAGTTCGACTATGTTCGACTTCTACTAGGTGAGTGTTCGATGTCACTTCTGTCTGGAAGAGGTTGGTGTTTTGAGGTTTCAGCTGATGGTTGCCGGAGCCCTCTCGTTCAAGCAGAAGTAAGCAAGGGTGTTCACACCTGAAAAGTTGGTGTCTCCAGAGCGTAGCAGTAGCATTGGTAAACAGCTCTTGGATATTGGACGTTCAGCAGGAAGTTCATTGTGGAGTTCTGTGGAGCTTCCATTGTGACCCGGTGCCCAGAGCCAGAAATGAACCAAACATAGCCCGGCCGGATGATCTTGGTTGTTGTTTTTTCTTATTTGTTGAGCAACAAGCGGCATGATGGTGCCAGGTTCATTCTGTTCAGCCGAGGCGTATTAGTGAGACCAGGAAGTGCAAATACATGCAAATCAGAGGCCCTAGCCTGTGATTCTGAGGCTGCTTGGTGCATTGAGTTCCACTGGTACGTACAAGTTTGTGATGGATCACGGTGCTGCCAGACTCATCGCTTTGAATGACAAGATGTCCAAATTCAACTGAAGGATACTATTTATTGGGTGAAACTAGATGGGACGAGGGTGCCTTCACAATCTTTTGCAACCCTTTCTTTTTGTTTCGATAACTGGTAGGAGTCCAGCAGATGTTGCATCAAGACTACTTGCCCGGTCCCTCAAAACTACTCGAGGCAAGTCACACAGCCTCAGAATCATAGCAGGAAGGCTGTAGCCGAGGTGAGTGCCATGGGTCAGAGTGCTTCTTCTTCTTTGTGTGGAAGGAGGGCTCCTTGTGAGAACTGCTTGTTCCCTACAGATTGGTCGTAATGCTTTTTCACTATGAGCTCTGGAAGCCTATTTTGAGACACATCAGTTAGGACCACGAAATCCAGAACTCTAAATGACAAGTCACGGGTTTGTCATCCAAATCTTCGCCTGTGCTAGACCCAAAGTGCACTCATGTCTTGCCCACTCTATCTCCACAACGCTTCTACGCAGCGTTTGAGAAAAGCCGAGAAGTGGCTTGCTTGTGCGCATGTACCATCAACGTAAGGCTGGGACGAACGCATGGACCAAACCTTCGACTATCAGGCATTTCCCTAGCCTTCAAAGACCAAAAGACAGGTTGACCTGGCTTTGATAGTCTAACATCGTTAGTAAAACAATGGTTGACCTGCAAAGACTGACCATTGCATCAAACTGTGGTTGGTATCCTAGGCTTTCTTTTTACCACGTGCTCCTTCGAAACACGGAAACAGCCAGTGCATTCGGGATTGATCGGGATTGGGAAACATAGGTTTCGACGTTCAAGAATGTGGCTGTGGGTCAACACCCGGAGACCGTTTCACCCTGGTACTGGTAGGTTGACCTCGCTCCTTAGTAGTCCATGGTTCATTTTCCGTGGTCAACCAGGTAACCAGGGTCACCCGGTTTTGACCCACAGCCATGTGACACTCGGAGGAAAAGAAGAATCAGACCATCAAGACCCTGATATCGATCATTTGCTCATGCGCTGCTAATTCACTGCGCCGTGAATTCAGCAGAGTTCAACCTGCACAGACTCATTAAACATTACTATTGTGATCTATTGTGTGGGTGAATTTTAGCTTCCTCAATTTCGGGTCGTGTTTTGGAGGTCCAGTGGTCACCCTGGTTCACTTCTTTGACTGCATGGGAGTGGCCCGATCCCTTGCTACTGAACCATACTAAACCCCCCAAAAGATCCCAAAAGAATAACAGACTAGAGGAACACACCGGTTCATCTCGTTTTGTGCTTTTTGGAGTCAATGAAGTTCTTGTGGACTTTCCATCGAACAACCAAGCAGGTCGAGCAGCACGAGTCTGTCGAGCAAGCTTTGGCAGCTTTCGATTTGGATTGACTAAGGTGAAGCTCAGCGAGCAGTGGAACTTGAACTACTACAAGTACGTCCAGGACCACGGAGAGGAGGCATGGAGACTTCGTCTGAGAGTGGCCGTGGAACGAAGGTGGGGTCAAGACGGATTTGTGAAACAGTGCGGTTCATGTGGGAAGCTTGTGGAAAGATTCTTTTTGACACGCTTTCCACAAGCTTCCCACATCCAAGGTTGGCTAAATGATGTTAAATGCACCAGAGTCTTATGCCTGGACCAGGGGGCATTCCCGGTGTTTCCAAGTCAGCAAACCTCCGGGGGGCTAGCCTTTTCCAAAGTCGGACCAGAAGAGAATCGGACTATCATGAAGGACCACACCAAGCTGGCCAAGCTCAGTGGCTCACTTCCGGTCGCGAAATGGTATCAAACATTCGTGTTGGACAGACACCAAGGGTAATTGTTGGGTCGGCCGAGTACAGGAGCTTTTCAGAGTTGTTCTTTGCCCAGAGGAGCTTTGCACCGGGTTCGATGCCTTGCACCAGGGAAGGCTGATGGGCACACCTGCCAATCTAAGAATCTAATATTTACAGATGGGCAGGTGCCTTGCGGAAAGCGCATTTGTTGGACCGAGTTGGCTTAAAAATGCGGACAGGTTCTTTGCCTAATGCTTCTCAAACACATGCCGGGGGTCCGGCCCCTCGCCCTGTTCGTCTCGCCAAGTCGGGGCGACACACGAAACCCCGGACGGCTCCACACGGATTGATCCACTTGTTACTAGTAGCTTCTTGTTACTACTAGTAAGGCACTTGTTACTAGAAGCGATGCACTTGTTACCAGAAGCTTATTGTTTCTAATAGCTTCTTGTTACTACTAGTAAGGCACCTGTTCCTACTAGCGTGGCACTTGTTCCTAGTAGCTTCCTATCCCAGCTATTGGGACAGTTTTTGTGCCAGGCCTACGAGGTAAATTGCATGAAGGGCGGCCGAGGTTTCTATTTCTTGCGTGGTGGCTAAGACAAATACAGGCAATTGGCTGGTCAAGAATGTGTGATTCTTGTAGGCACACAGAGAACAGAGGTTTGCTGGAGGTGGTTCAGAGGGTTCGCCAACGCTTACCGATGAACACCTGGCAGTGGAGTGTTGGGCTTTCTCGCAGGTTGTCCAGTTTAGGCCACAGAATCCCGTTTCGCGGGCATCGATGAAGCTCTAGACAAATGAAGCTCGGGTGTTCTGTGCAGATGAGTCTGCCCAGGTCGTTGAGAAGTGTGTGTCAGGAGTCCCAGGCCCTTCATCTCGTTTGTTTGACAGTGGTGTTTCTATCGAACTCACGCCCTCAGACATGAGACTTGTGCGAGTCAGGTCAAATCCTGACATGGACTTGTAGGGTAAGTCATTCAGCCGCTTTCCGCAGCTTCGAGGGCCACGACATGATATTGTTGGAAACGCACGGCATGGTAAGTGATCATTGCCATGCCCTGAGCCAACACCCTTGGACTTTTGCATCCGCAGTCATTGCACAGTTGTGTTGAAAAAGATGGAGCTCAGGCTGCCATGCAGTAAGCAAACATGGAAACTGCCACAGGTGAGGAGATGACTACACCCTGGACCCTTGACTCACATTCGCTTTTCCCATGAGCCGTTCGACAGCTGCGCCATGGCGAGTCTCGCCGGCCTTATGCGTTTCGCTGCGATCAGGAGAGCAGTGCATGGCTGTTGTTCACGCCTTCAAAGCACTGGGCGTGGAAGAGATCAAGATCACTCTTCTACCTATACATCCCAGATCACTCTTCTACCCACCCAAAACAGATCAAAACAGAACGTGGAGACGCCAAAACAGATCAAAGCAGGAGACCCGCTTCATCGAGGAAGGGTCCTCCTCAGGTGTGGCGGGAGAACTTGCTCCAGAACGCCTCGACGCGTGGATGTTTGGGAAATTTCGCCGCGGGAGATGCGAAGCTGAATTTCTTTCAGAATATTTCAGGTCGGAGGGAAAATGTAGAAGACATCCTGCGGTGGAAGTGCAGCTAGTAGAGCTTTGCTTTTTTTGGGGGGGGTATCTTCTTGCCAAATGAATAACTCCATCCCATGGATTGAAAGCAAGTTTTCAGGCTGTTTTGGTTGGGGTGCCAGGTGGTTTGGCGCAGCTTCGCGACATTGTCCATCAAGGACTGTTTCTGAGAGGCATCGAAGTTCCAAGAAGACTTTGGGAGGAAGAGATCCCAACCTGACCTGCCCTTTGGCATCCTTTGCAAATTTGGAATCAACAGGTTTTGGATTTGGACGTCTGACCGCAAAAGGTCCTGGTATGTGGGATGGCATCATGGCATCCATATGTATACATGTTCCAGTGTTCAACGGGCGAGTCCGGGGCATTTCATCCAGAAAGGTTGCTATTCCAGCAGATGTTCATGTCCAGAATGAAACAAATCAAGCAACATGTGTCGTCTCCACCGTGCTGACTGTGGATGTTCCGCCTGACTGTGCCACTGAAGACTGTGATTTGGAGCTGCGATTGGAGGAGCTGCGGGACTTGGGCGTGGACACGGCTCAGCGAGGACGAACAGCCGGACCTCATGCGTCAGAGGTGCGGTGAGTCGGGTTCGACGCGGGACGAACAGGGACCCCAAAAAAGCGGAACGAAAGGGAGAGGATTTATGAAGTCATTGCAAATCAACAGAGGCCTGCAATGACCTGCATCACTTATTGTCAGAAATGACTGCAATTGCAAACCAAGAGAAATCACATCACAGATGATTGCATTGCCAGGTGCTACACTTCCTACGTCACGCAGGGCTGACGCAGCAGGAGTCCCGGAATCCCTGGGTTTGAATAGCACATGATTCATTCAACCGTAGTACGTAGTATTTATATAATAGCTTAGGGTTCCTTTGATGCCTTTGATGGCATTTGATGGCCACTGTACTTCAAGTGATCACCACGGCATTTCATCTGAAATGATTCGGTTGCATGAAGGAATTAATCATTGAGCACGTGTCATTTGTTGGAATCACACGAACCAGTTTGTTCACACTATGCACCATGCCATGAAACAAGTACCTGCGCATTTTGCAAAGGACTTCACCACGCAACAGATCGCAGAAGCAAGAAACATATTGAGATGGAGCGAGCGTAAATAGCAATCCAAAGTGACATTGCGTTGGCAGAAGCGGGTTGTGACTTTTGCGCGAAGACACGAAGACTCGAAGACACGCGAAGACACGAAGACACGCGAAGACACGAAGAGACGCGAAGACACGAAGACACGCGAAGACACGAAGACACGAAGAGGCTTCAGGTCGTCAGAAGGCTTCAGGTCGTCAGAAGGCTTCAGGTCTTCAAGGCTTCAGGTCTTCACGTCTTCAGGGCTTCAGGTCTTCAAGGCTTCAGGTCGTCAGAAGGCTTCAGGTCGGCAGAAGGCGTCAGGTCGTCAGAAGGCTTCAGGTCGGCAGAAGGCGTCAGGTCGTCAGAAGGCTTCAGGTCTTCACGTCTTCAAGGCTTCAGGTCGTCAGAAGGCTTCAGGTCTTCACGTCTTCAAGGCTTCAGGTCAGGTCGTCAGGAGGCTTCAGGTCGTCAGGAGGCTTCAGGTCTTCACGACTTCAAGGCTTCAGGTCGTCAGAAGGCTTCAGGTCTTCAAGGCTTCAGGTCGTCAGCAGGGCTTCAAGGCTTCATGTCTTCAGAGGAAAGTCACCCGGGATTGCCAACACACTGCAAAGTGAGATCTAGGAACCGAGAAGTAAATTCTAGTGTGAGGGTCCGGTAGGCCGTCCTGGTGTTTGGGTTTGGCGGTGGCAGATTATTTGGCAGTCTATGTTGACATACATTCTGGCACATATGATGACACAATATGACACGTACTATCACGTACTGTATTCAGACATTCTATTTGGCATCTATGTGTAACATTCTATTGGGCATATTGTGACATTATTTGGCAATGTTTTGCATCTATTGTGCATTCAATTCTGTTTGAGATATTCTAGCATTCAGTGTAATTCTATCATATTCTATCTAGCATTTACACTGGCATTCTATTTGGCCTGCATTCTGGCATGTTCTGATCCAGTGGTGCCCGTTGCGATCTGGCCTGTTTGCGGAATCTAACGGCCTTCACTGTGCCAGTGGGGAAAGAGCAGATGCAGAACACAAATAGCGGAGCAGATAGAGCATGATAGAACTATAGATTACAGAGCCCCAAAGAGATAGAAGATGGCGAGCTCCTCTCAACTTGCAATTATCATATATTTGTTTATTGTTTAGAGTTGGCTTGAATGCATCAGTATGTGTCGAGAGCCCCTCACCGACTTGCCCTTGTGGTAATCTCTATTTTGTAGGAGCTGACGCGTGCGGTCCGTAGGCAGCCGGTGCCTTTGGCTTGTGTCCAGCAATTCTTTGGCAGGGAAAGGTTGTTTTTCTGTATGTAGACCTTTGTCGGAACGAGTTTCTGAGAAGCAATGTCCCTTTCCCTAAACAATTGGATGGTGATTGAGCTCATTTTTGCAATGCAGGCTTAAAGTGTTGTTTGATTCTGATCAACCAGACCTTTTGTAAGTTCTATGCCTCTATGCCCACCAAATTCTGCTATTGGTGCTGAACCGTTTAACCCAGAGAAGCTGGTTGTTGCGCAAATTTGGGGTTTGGTTGCTTTATATATGTTGTTTGCCTGGTGGGTGTTGGCTTTCCCATCGGCATTCAGATCGCGGCTTTCTGCGGTATGGTGAAGCACTCAACATATTGTGCTTGTGTTTTTGCTTCTGGTTTCGTTCAAGGAACTCTTAGACGCCAACCCGGCGGCGTTGGAGGTGCGGCGCGGTTGGGAGGGCACGTTTAAACCTTCAAGCCTCTCACCCAAAGAGATGGATGTTGGAGTGATTTCATAAAAGATGTCAAATGACAATCGTGAAGCAGATGTGAGTTTTGTAGATGGTACCGTTTCCCATGTCTTTGAGTCTTGCACACATAGGGACACCATGCCTTCATATGACATTATGACCTAATTAACACAGCCATCGAACCACTGGGTTTGGAGTATGTTTGTTTGAGGTTGTTATGGTCGGTCGCACCTGGCCTGGTGCCGTTGGCCAGGCCTCAGCTGCCACTCTTCAAGGGATGCTGGGTTCGTGCCTTGGGCCTGCTTTGGTGGGTCGCGGCCGACGGCCCGGTAGGCCGTGTTTGGAGCCCCAAGGATGCCTGCAGTTTGGCGTGGTTGAAGGGCGTACCACTGAGTTAGAAAGATAAGGGTATGGGCGTTTCTGAGGGATGTTTTGGGAGTTGTGGCTTTCAAGACGTTGATTGGATATGTCCCACAATGTCCCACATGCCTAAAATGATGTCTTGTGAACTCCGATGCCTGTGCTTGGTCAACACTGAGAGATCTTGAGAGCCCGATCAGGCCTGCCACGCATGATTTCACACAGCGGGTTTGAGTGGCACTGCATCTAAATTCGATCTTTATATATCTTTATGTTTTTTCCGGGGGGCGTTTGCAGAGCTTGCAACCTCCGCAAAATTTTGATGGATGAAGAGTTTCTTTACATGAGATGTTAGGATCACCAGCAAAGATCACCAGACGAGATAGACGAGTCACGCCAGCTCAAGTCGCTGGGGGCAGGTCTACGCTGACCACGCTCCGGGACTGCCCCGAGGCACGGGGGCTGACCATGGGGGACCATGGTTGACTGATTTGGAGGTTGGATTGACCCGTTCATAAGCACAAAACAACAATGAACCAGCTGTTGAATGCCGATCTTTGGTGATCAAGCTTTAAACATCATCGTAAGATATCGTAAGCTTGGTCATTGGTTGAGCCAGTGTTCGCAAAGTTGTGCATACTGCCGATCAGACGACCCAAGGCGGACGAAACTACTTTGGGGGGGTTGTTAATCCTGTGTCGACGCGACGTGGAACAGGTCATGGTCATTGTGCAACGCTGTGCATTGTCGTTGTTGCCGATGCTGACTGGCGATTGTCCATGCACGTATTTGCATTCGAGACAACTCAGAGACTCTATATAACAATATATTGTTTCTGTTATAACAATATACTGTATATATATACATATACACACATATATGTATTACACTCAAACTGGCGTGGTGTGAAGTCCATAGAGGGGACATGGCACGGACACCGAAATCGCTATTTGTATTCCTTTGAAATCGACCCATATGTCGGGATGGTCGACACTGACGAGATCTCGGCGTGCCATCGGAATTGCCGCAGGTGCTCCTCGGCGCTTTGCTGGAGCATCAGCGGCTTTTCGACGAGTGGGGGCTGGACGTGGAGGCGCTTGCGCCTTGCAATCTCGGGACAGAAGCTCAGTCGATTCATGGAAGAGGGGGCCCAAGAGGGTCTGAGTGGAGAACACCAAAGGGTCGAAAAGGGATGAAACATCTCATCTGAATGTCTCAAGGACGTGTCTAGGTCATGCTGTCTATCTCATCTATCTCAAATCTTCGTGACAACTTCTGTTCCCGAGGATTCGATGTCAATGTCAAAGCATCGAATCCAACGGACCGTTCTGAAAACTTTGAGAAGAACTGGAGTTCACAATGACAAGTTGGAAGTAGTTGGCTGGGCATCCGTACCAGTGATCCTGTCGATGAGCATCCTAGAGGCAGTGCTTATACACATGGTCCAAGGTTGATGACCTATTAAGAGTGGAACATACCCAACCTGAAATGTCCCAGGAAAAGTTGCTACTGACCTGAACATCTCGCACGTGGGGGTGCGATACTGGATGCACAGCATCACTTTCTTCGCCCTCACCAGATGAGTCGATGGTGAGTCGACCATCAAAGCCCTGTCCCTTTGTGAAACACTCAGCTTCGATGATCTCTGGCCATCTCAAGGGCCATTTCAAGGTTGTTGATTTCTCACGCGATTTCGGACGAGTCAATGACCACAGAGGACATCAGAGGACTCTATACTTTGTTCTTGCAGAAAGCGCCGCTTTCTCATGTCAATACCGTCCCACGACCTCACATGGTGAATACGTTTGACCCCGGTTTCGACCTCACGCGACGCCACTCCAGGGCGCTGCGTCTCCACGCCCAAATCGTCCGCATCCGCCGCAGGTCCTGACACGTTCCCCGCGGATCCTCTTGAGGGTTCCAAGGGAGCTGCGCTGCGTAGCTCAGCGAAGAAGACGATGAGCTCAGCTGTGCCGAGCGATTGAAGACGAACGATAAGCTTAAGGAGGATACATGTGACATGGGAGAGATGCTTTGGAGTGGGTTTCTTTGGGGCCTCATACTGCCATCATGTTTGGGCTAATTATTGCCATCAGGTTTGGACATCTATAATGAGAACATTGGGATGGGGGGGGAACGCGACAACGAAACGACGTAGGATGGCCTATTGGGGTGTTGTCTTCGATGGGTTTCGCCCAGCGAGATGAGCCGGAGGGCCTTTGATCCGCACGAGGGTGCGGTGGAGGCCATGGCCGCCTTTAAACTTGGTGGTGTTGGGCCTGGGTTCTTTTTCCGCAGAAATCCGGCACGACCCGAAAATGGTACAGTAAATTTGTTGAATTGGTGCCAAAGAAACATAACAAACACATCAAAACATAGACCTGTCAGCTGTGTATTTTTGATATGCTTCGTTGTACTTGTGGATGTTGTCCTTCAACCGTGTGTTGGTTGCATCCCACTGCTGCCACTCCATGATGGTCGAAACATTGCCAGCAGATACGGGTGAAGAAACAAAGGACAGATTGATGTCACCTACGAAAGAAAACATATTACAGTAGTAGAGATAGAACTTGTCACAGGCAGTTCCTGGAGAATCCAAATGAATTCAAGGGCCGCTGCTTGAGGTCTTGGAATTCCTACGAGATGATGCGCTGCTTGGACGGTCCCACGTGGGAAGTCCAGGGCGGTTTGACCATTGATGGCTGCTGCACATTCTGGGCCCAAGAGCATGACATGGAAGCATCCTCGAACCAAATCGACACCGAATTGTGTATGCAGAATAGATAACACATGTCCGGGTGGATATGCCTGTTCTTCTAGCTTGCTTGGCTTCTTCATGTTTCCAAGTTTAGCTTCCGTGTTTGGCTGACGTCTCAGTTATCAAGTCCCTCATCCTTCGACCCAGTCATCTCAGGTCAGGTCCTGGCATGAGCTGTGAACAAATCCGCCAGGCGCCAATCCGCCAAGCGCGCGAAGACGCGGCGCTTCTTCGATGGCACAAAATGTGGATTTCTCTTTTGAAAAAGCCCCGCAAAACACGGAAAGCCGTTTGGCCCGTTTCACTCCCGTAATATAGGTTTTTGTTTTCAACCTTGTTTGTTGTTCAGTCTCAGTACTGCTTGGCCAATTCGGTGCGTTACAGGGTGCTTGTGTTATTATTGTTACTGTTTTTTTTTGGGTGTTAGCGGAATGAAGGGAGCAGAGGGCCCACTCCTTCGACATGAATCGCCTTTACACCACGTCGAAGGTCTGCTGGATTCTGCTGGATTGCTGTATTGAGGTTCTTCCCATCAGCTCGGTTTAACACAGCGGAATCGACTTCCACTGCAGCTGTTCGGCTCATCCCACAGAGCACACGAAGAAGATGTCGAAGAACGCGGAGAAGAGTTACGAGGATTTGGTGGCAGAGCAGGTGAAAGCGCTGCAGGTGCCTGAGAAGTTTCAACTCACAGCACTGGCTGTGGATCAAAACCTCCCAAAATTGTGTCACATAACAATACAATACATTGCATATCTCTGGCGGATCAAATGTTTTCACAAACCCGGTGCCGGTGCGTTAATGGGGTGTGTAAGGTGCGTCAGCCTTCTTAATTTCTACTCGTAGGGATTGACAGGGATCTACCCCGATCTCACCTAAGATGGCTTGAAACGATTGGAGCGTACTGGAGATAGTTTGTGTATATATATAATGTATATATGCACCGTCTATGCACTGTCTCAAGGACAAAGCAAGGTACCTTGTTTCATGGGCTGAATGTTGCAGTGTCATTCCATCATATTCCATCCACTCATGAACACGTCCGACGAACAAAGATTGCCACCGCTATAGAATCTATAGGACTATGGAAACATGAAGAAACCTCTAGCTGATCCACAGTCTCAACATCTATAGTGGCGAGCCTCCAATGATTGGTTTCACTCAAAGTAAGTACAGTAGATGGAACATGTTGACACTCCCTCCAACAATCCAAAAATCATGGAAGTGGATGGCATGGCCCCCCGAAAAAAAAAAAATGTCACCAAACAGGGGAGTACCTGCAACAGTCGGTAAACAATCATAAATTTAGACAAAGCATCTTTACTAACCATCATCATTCACTGTTAGACCCAAGCTTATTGCTAATACTGTAGGCTGTACCCCTAATAAGGAGGGCAAGTGGTGAAGGGCATTTCTTCGGATTTATCGGGAGGATTGGATTCACCGCGTCCAGCCTGGATCCGCGTCCCGCCGTCGGTTCGGTTTGTCGAGTTGTTCTGAGGACGTATTGCTCCGTGACTCGTCCCAAAGGATCTCGCTGTCAAACCTGCTGGAAGGGCATTTAACATGGAACTTGCATGGAATAGCTACAGGATCTGGGGCAAAACCTGTATTGCATGGAATCAATTCATATCAATTCTAAACATGGAGCTGTGAAAGGTGATTTTCCTCCACCCCCACCCCCTGCGTTGTTTGGGAGGGGGTTGTGCGTGCGGTGCGTGTGCGGTCGGGAGCTGTACCGAGTTGGCTCTCGCTGCCCTCTTGTGTCCTGAGCCAGCTAAACATGTACACCCCTTTTTAAAATTTGGAGGTTGACTTTAACTTAAGAAAAGGCTGACCATTTTGTTTTGTTTTCTGCGACAACTTCTATATAAATACTTCTAACACCGAAGCTGGACTAGATACGAGAAGTTCTGGAGGGAGAACTTGGGGGAACATGTGCCATCTGTCACCTGATGAGCATTTTTCTATTTGACAAGTCTTACAGTCTGTCTTTGGCAAGCTAGAACTTAAGTAAGCTTTAGCATTGGTGGGGTGTAGGTCTACACTGAGTCTACACGATGCGAAACATTAGAACCCGTGGGTCCAAGAGCATGATTGCTCCCCAACTTGCTCAGGTCGCCACCATGCAGAGATGGAAGCTTTGCGCTTGGAACTCACTGGGCACTTTTCCCCTGACCAACCTGTGCCTGTGCCAGATGTTTTGAACGACGCGATGGAGAACGAGGAGGAGCCGTCTGAGGAGCTGTCTTTGTCGCCCATGGAGAGGCGCGACTTCCGTGTCCGTTCCGCGTTCGTTCAGTGCAGAACCCGCAGGCTGGACGCGTTTCTCACGTTGTATTGCGCCATTCGAGTTGAAAGATCTGTTGCATCTACCGGAAAAGGGTCTTGCCCCAGTGTGTGCAAAAAGAAGCTACCGGCCAGCATGGCAATTGTGATGCCAAGTGTATAAATGGGTACCTACCTTACCTGTTAGGTGACTGACTGTACTGCTCAATGCGTGACAATCCGTTGAGATGGATATGGCCCAAATTTCTTGAGGCAAGGCTCCGCATGATGCTTCCAGAAGTCCTATTTGCAACACTGGAATGGTCAAGCGTTGCGGGGGCCACTTGTGGCCTCATAACCCAGACGCCCTACTTGCAATAGCATCCAAGTATTGATTTAAAATGATTTAACAAGGGCAATTATTTTTGGCTGCTGCACTTGGCATGAGCCGGTGGAGATAAGGCCAAACTCCCCCTGCCTGCAGGTACAGATCGGTGTAGTTGGCTTGCTTTTTGCATCCCTAGACTAGACTCCTCATCCGAGTCACAGCTATCAGCTGTTGGATATGGCTGAAGACAGCTGAGAGCGGCGTGGAGGTCTGAGCCCTTCCTGAACCTTTAGAAATCCTCAGTGGGATCAGAAGCCTTCCTACGAATAGTGGATGACCTCACTATAGAATGCAAAAAACGAAAGATCATGCAATTGACTCAGTTCCCCACTGGGTTTGCTGTGTGGCATTGTAATTATCCAATTGGGAACGTCCAGTGCTCCGCCGATTGCGCATCGCTAGGTGGACAACCTTGACGGAACGCCTCATGGACGAGCATGAGTGGATGACCAGCGTGACAGGACGTGCCAGCGTGGCGAGTCCCGCGCCAGAACGAAGTTGTAGGACTCCTCCTACGCTTTTACATGGGCGCCATGCCCAAGTCATCCCAGTTGGTCCGACCTTCTATTGCATAGCATGAACAAGAAAAGAGTCGGACTCAGGGCGCCCAAAACCACAGGGTTCGGGTCCATGTCAGAAGAGAAGGGAACAGTGCCCTTCTCAAGCCACCTCACAGGATATGTTTATAGAGTGGGCTCTTCGAGTAGTAGATGGCACAAGCTACCTCAAGGTCGGTGGGGTAGTGTCGGTGGACCTCATCTTTTCAGGACATCCTAATGGGTGCCACTGCGATCTACTCTGAAACCACTGTAGCAGAGACACCAGGATGGTCCCAGGATGGGGAGTTCTGAGACACCAGAGGAAGACAGTCGCGCTGTGCTGCTTGCATCGTGGGGTAGTTTGGGGCAGGGAGAGTGTTTGGGGCAAGATCCAGACAGAAGTGAAGGCTCATTCAATGCCTTTAGATGCGTTTAGTATTTGTTGTTAGTTGTTCGCTCATTTGCTTCTTGATTCCTTGTTTGCCCACAATGATGGAAACGGGGTAAAATCCCTCCAGTTGTGTCGTCGGCGCACGGAAAGCTGCAGGCCACGTGCAAGACTTTGAGGCACACATTGCAATAGTGGCATTGCTGAAACCCACTGAAAACCATGTCAGGAGCCAGCCCCTTTGGCCGAGAAAAGTCTCACGTCCACGATTTGCACATGCGACGTGCTTGGGGCACTTCAATCATGAGCAAGCGAAGGCGAGGTTCGTCGGGAGAGAGTGGCCTTGGAGGGGCGAAGACGAACGTCTCATTCTGTCCTTGTGGGAATCACTTGGCGGCCAAAAAAACCTTAGTTTCAGATATGTGAGAACCTTGGGGATTGACTTAACGGGGTGTCAATCAAGCCGACTGCTTACGAAGCTTGCCGCTTCGGGTTGCCGGCCCCGACCCGTTTCCGAACCACTGGGACCTGCTTTAGCCCAGACACTGCATGGAACTGGCATAAAAACAACGACCCCTACCACCACCCCCTTGTAGGTACATATGCCGGTCCCATGGAGTGTGTGAGTAGATCATCGTACTTATGGCCAAAGGTGTTTTAAAGGGATGTTTTGGGAGCTTCGCTGTTTTGGGAGGCCCCTTGAAGAGCCACCTGAACAAACCCATGCTTGTGTGTGCAATATGAGACACCAGGATCCTGTTGGTTTCACTTCCATCGCGGACAAGTCTTCATTCACACGCACCAAGTCCCCTGTCTTTGCAAGGGCGGTGGGTGTACCAATTCTTGTAGTGTTGCGTGAACCAAGAACTGCGCACTCGCTTCCCCAAACACTTGTCCCCTAAACAATCCTAAACCACAAGAACTCGTGTACTCCCTCCATTTCCCCGAAATAGCCTGTAATTACCTGTATCGTCGATATGTTCCACGATGCCACGTTTCAGCACTTTGGTTCGTTTTGGGATGGCAAGCCAGATTCAAGAGGCTATATATATATATAATTCAATATTACATATACAATTACATACATGTTGATAGCTCATTTTCCTGAAAAGGATTGCAGTCCCAGTCCCAATCCAGAAACCGCTGGCAGGGAGTCCATCTCCCTCTTTTCAAGTCGTTTTCTGCGCAGGACGCCGGCCATGAGGGCCTCTGTGGCGCTCCCCTATGCCAACTCGGCGCTTCGCATCAATGAGGCTCAGACAGACAGCTCCTTCTTGTCCTTCTTCGTGGTAAGACCTCAGAGTTCCGTGGCGAAGCTGAGGCCGTGGTTCTTGTCCTTCTGTTTTTCTTTTCAAAAGATCCTTGTAGGGACTTATTGTGATGATCGTGAAGTTTGGAGTTTGCCATTCAGTCCTAGCACGAGCAAGAAACTGTTGTGCTTGATTTCTTGAGAGTTCTTTGGCCCAGAGGATTTCCATGCCACTGCCGCTCCTATTTAAATTATGGCATATGGTTTGTATTTAATGAATACCACTCGGTGAACCAAAACCACCGGTGTTCGTTCTGCATGGCCACACGGCGCAACTCCAAGGCAATATGCAGCTTGTGTG